AACTATTTGAGCACACACTATTAAAAAAACCCACCAAAACAAGACCATCCACACACACGCTTGCAAACAAGGCCAGATAGAATTGAAGTCTACGTTCTTACCCACGAAGTCTGTCCAATAAAGCCATTGACTTGCCAAAATCTCAGCCTTCAATTGCATTTTAATGATGGGTCTGAGTGAAGCTGACTAGAGCCAGACATGTGTTTTCCTTCAGAAATTGTACACTAAGGACTATAGTATGACTGCAGCTGTATCAGAGCTTAATGAAAAAGTATTCCTAAGTTACCAGATCATAACCTCAAGCACTTAATCATGCATCTGGAAGACAAGTTACTTATGTATAGAGCCAGCTCCATACACTTCTTCCTCCAAGTGGAATTTCTGTTAAATCCCCTAGTTCAGGAAGGACTACTGGTTTCTCCATCAGAGCTGCTTACTCAAGCCATAGACGTAGCACAGCACCATCAGACAGCATTACAGTACTGCTGAATGTGAATAGAGAAAGGGAATAGGCCTAAAGTTTGGGGGGGTGGGGTAGGTGGGTGTAGTATTTATGTTCAGTTACATTGGGGTTTTTTGGTAGTCATAGTCAATCTAAGTCATAGTCAATCTACATAATTTGCTTAAGTTTTCTACTTTCATTAACTGCCTTACCTCTGCTACCAGTTCCTGGGTGCACTGGTTTTAGTGTCAGAAATAGTGCCCCAATAGTTGTCACAGGGGAAGCACTTTTGGGCACCAGACACCATCTGTGGCTCACGTTTCAGGACCAGACAGACTAAGACCGGATGCTGGCTTTAGCAAGGTGTGTAGTTATTTCTAGCTAGCCCAACTGTGCTTAGAGTTTACAAAAAGCAACCGAGAATAGCACTGGCTGGAGACAGGGAGAGCAGTTCTTGCTTCCCCATTAGGCTTGAGGGCAGCCTTCAGCAGTGCCCCAGGCCACCATCCATCATGTTCTGCTAGCAGAGAAACCAAGTCGCTGAGTAACTAAGCCTCCAAATACCTTCACTTCTGACATACCTTAGAGTAAAGCACACCTCAGTAATCCATCCAGCCTATCACCTTTCCAGTGCATTAGTATCACAGCTACTTTCCACCACAAACGCATGGTAATATTATCTGTAGTCCAGCACTCACTGTGATTTAATTACTTTGCTACTAACACTGAAACTGAGCAAATTAAGCAGTTTTAAAACCCATCACAGCTTTCATTTGCAGACAGAAAGGAATGAGAGTGCAGATCTCTCTCACTGCAGCAGATATTTCCAGTCCTGTAGTCCTCACTAGCAAAACATCGGGTGAAGCTGAGGGACTGTACCTCCCTTAGCACCTCTGCTCTTGCCCCACCACCTCCTCATCACTGGTGAAGTTTGCTTGGGTCAAGAGCCTCCCTGTTTGGACTCTCCCCATTCATGCTCATGCCAAAGGGAAAGCATTGTTTTTGTATTTGGTCAACTTACACGGACTTTTAAAGTATCACTGTACAGAGGCTGCTCTAATGAAGTATTTAAATTATATTTTTAATAAAGTGTTTTAAACCTGTCTGGGAATTTCTGCTCTAAAACTGTTGCCTAGCCTAACACGCAAGCAGCTGTTGGAGACCAGACCTTCACACAGGTGTTTCCAGCAGTAACAGTTGTTCATTCTGGAGACTCAGTACGCCGCTGGAGAAACTGAAGAACTGTGCAGCAGACTGCATATGCCACTTGTCTCTCTCAGCTTGGTTTTGGCACTTCCCTGTAGCCCTTCCAGAGGCTGGACGGTTGCCGAAAGAAATTTGTGGTAATGTTAGACTGAAGAACACGGGAAAGAGGTGAACCCCCCCAGTTCATGACCTGGATTGCCTTTTAACAGTACAGCTCCCTTTTAAATCAGCTGGAATCGGTCATAGCCACATGTCCTGTACTCCATACCCTGTGCTGTGTCAGCCAGCTGACACTAAGACATTAGGTCTCTGCTCAGAAGCAGAGGGGGGGAGGTGGGACATTCAAAGGGTGGGACACGAGCAGAAAGATGTCTTTTCTTCCAGCTGAAACATTCAGACAAGCTGAATGGCCTGTAGTGTACAATCAGGAGGTTTTACAGTATGAACAGTTCTCTCCTCCTCCACTTCGCTCTGGTGAGACCCCACCTGCAGTACTGCCTCCAGCTCTGGGGTCCCCAGTACAGGAGAGACATGGAGCTGTTGGAGCGAGTCCAGAGGAGGCCACAAAGATGATCAGAGGGCTGGAGCACCTCTGCTATGGAGACAGGCTGAAACAGTTGAGGTTGTTCAGCCTGGAGAAGAGAAGGCTCCGGGGACACCTTAGAGCAGCCTTCCAGTACCTAAAGGAGCCTACAGGAAAGCTGGACAGGGACTGTTTACAAGGGCAGATAGTGACAGGACAAGGGGTAATGGCCTTAAGCTGGAGGACAGGAGATTTAGATCAGATATTAGGAAGAAATTCTTTACTGTGAGGCACTGGAACAGGTTGCCCAGAGAAGCTGTGCAGGCCCCATCCCTGGCAGTGTTCAAGGCCAGGTTGGATGGGGCTTTAGGCAACCTGGTCTAATGGAGGGTGTCACTGCCCATGGCAGGGGGTTGGAACTGGATGGGCTTTAAGGTCCCTTCCAGCTCAAACCGTTCTATGATTCTATGATGGTTTTGTGAACTGTTGCCTGACATTTGCACGTTGATACACAGACAGACTCAATGGAGCGTGAGTAGTGGAATGTGGTATCACAGCAGGTGGCAGAAATGCGTGCCCTGTGTACAGATATGTCCAAATGAGATGTAGATATTACAGCATGCAGAAGTATCCAAAGTTTTTTTCTTTTAAAAATGAGGCAAGTACAAGCCTTAGCTCCGTTTAGTTTTAACGGATCAGTCCTTTGTGGTGATACTGCTAAAACAAACAAACAAATCCATTTCTGTAGAAAGTCAAGAATTCAAATGCATTTACAAGAATAGTTTTCAACAGAAGTGTTTTCAGCCATGGCAAAATCTGAGCTTTCCAGAAGGGAATTTTTATAACATAGGTTGTAAATAATAGGGGAGTTTTCTGACCAGCTATAAGAAATTCAGGAACATAAGTAAAACTGCTGTACCAGTAGTCCAGCAGCGATTACTCAGACTTGTTTCAGAAGCATGTTTGTCCAACAGTCATTTCCCAGAAAACAGTTACCCTCCAGTTTCAGAGCAGAAGCTTTTTCTGTTGCAGTTCAGACTAACTATAGTGACTGTAAGCTTTCAATGAGCTTATTTTCCTGTGCAATAGTTTTGTTTATTTCTCAGATCACACTTGGCCAAGGCAGAGCTCAGCTAGTCCTAAGTCCAAAGGGCCAGGTATTTCCAACAAATAGCAGCTCATGCTGTTCCATACACAAACTTGTATCAAAGCTTCCTAAAATGCCCTGTGAACTGGACTGAAACAGCAGCCTGCTGCTGAGTGGCTTCTGTCATGGAATTACAAGAAGTAGAAAAGTCAAAGTCTCAGTTCAGCCATAAAAGGATACAGGTTTAGCCCCAAACCAATCTTATTCTTGGAACACAATGACTCTAGCTTATTTACAATCACCACCTTAGCTGCACCTAACGCAGCAGCAACAGCTCAGGAAAAAGGAGCACAGAGCACATCCCAGGAAACTTTTGGTAAAAGCCACTCATTTAGTGGGAGCGATATAAGCAATTACATATGTCAAAGTCATGAGTCTCCTCAATTCTAGAAACTACTAGTAAAGAGGGTGCCCGATGCCTAAAATTTCAGCCTTTTATTTTCTTTTCAATGCATTCTGTATTTTAAGGTTCTTACACACTGACAGGAAGTTTCAACAAGCCAAATAGATGAGTTCAGTTACGGTTAGTTGTGTGTCAAGGATTTCATAAACATCCCTAGAGCTTGACAACATCCTGGAACATTCAGTTTTGATCTTAGTCTGAGTTTACCTGATATGATGTATTAGTCTGTGCTGATAGGTGAACACCAACAGCTTCTTATGCATAACAGACACACAGCTGTTCCATATCAGAGAGGGATTTCTAATCAGACAATTAATGACCTCTCAATGGCAACTTACCTTCAAACAAGAGTAGCTGCATCATGCCCTTTAGAGGTTTCATTTCCTCAGACTCTGGTGTTTCAGGCCTGGAGTATGATGTGGTAAAAAGCAAACTGGAAAAAAACAAGCTTATTTTGGATATTTAAGTATTTTTTTTCTTTTACTCATAACTTCATCAAAGGAGTGAACAAAAGAGAAAATTCTCTGGAGAGCTTCTTTCATACAGACTCTCACCATCCCTTTTGGCAGTAGCAACTGTGCAGGCAAGAAAAATATGTGACTCCATATTTATTTATTTTAGTTGTGCTCAGAGTTTTACAGGTCTTCCCTTTAGACCTTCTCAACAGAAATATAAAAAAGTTTGAAGCCACTTCCCCATTTACCTACTCATCTCCAATCATCAACGGAAGTGAAAAGCAGAAACACCTTTTGTTAAAAGAAAGAGTGGTGAGTTTGTGAAGGTTTATCCCAGTCTAGAGCTGGGCTTCCTGCTATGGCACAGATCTATTAGTTTGTAACTTAGAACCCCAGTCCCCAGAGTCCTGTAACAGGACTACTCAACAGGAAAATCTCTTCTCTAGCAGTGACATTCCTGGTAGCTGATGCTGTGCAAGGGAAACACTTCCTGCAGCTTGAGTGAGCTGGACCTTCTTCAGAAACTCTGAGTACCCAATCTGTCTTCATGGGATAGAGAGGAGGCAGGGAACAAACTCTTCAAGGCAGAACAGACTCTTCAAAGTAAGTACTGCACGTCCCAGTAGACGTGCCTGTCTTAGCAGACTGCTGTGGCATGAGGCACTGCGGTCATGGCTGTAGAGAACTGTCCCAGCTCTGTCAATAGAACCACAGGTAAATTTGTTCTCTTTCCTGTGAGAAGTCCCTGAGTTGCAGACCTAAAGGATCTTCCCCCAAACACACCTCAGTGTCACCAGACCACTGAATAAAGTTGCTGAGCCACGTCAGTAGCCTGCTGGGAAGCCACCTTTACGGGAATCAGAGGCTGCAGCCCATCCTTCATCTGTTCTGAGAATGGCCTGCACAACCGCACCACCACTCGTCCGTGTGGTATCGTGTTTTCTCTTCTTTAGTTGTTCTTCTATACCCTGGAATGCAGAAATGAATGAGGACAACAGGAGAGAGAAACTGCACATGTGCTGTAGTCTTCGACCTGCATCCTCCATGACTACCCAAGCGTTCAGTGTCTGTGTTAGGTCTAAAACTACGTGCTGTTCCTCCTCTTCCCTTTGCTTTCTGGGATGCCCTGCTTTTGAAGACGTGAATTGAGAAGATGTGGCATTTGTGGTGCTCGGTGTGGCCTACCAATACTATTCCTGGTCACAGAGTGTTCCGCCTCAGATATTCACATACCAACAGCCAGAACTGATGGATCCTGTGTGGGAACGGGGGGAAAACACAGGACTTGTAGAGAGCAGGGCACTCTCCCTGGTGCAGGCAGATATCTCAGCGGTTACCTTAATAAAACGCTTATCAAAGGAGGATCTTCTGTATAGTTTGATGAAGAAAACTGCCGCATGTAGTTCCATTTTCCCTAATATAGAGACATGAGATATGTACAATGACTGCATCTGTCTCGGTCCTCTGGGATGTGTAGTTCCTCGGGGTGAAGGCAGCTGCCAGCTCAGGTGAGTGGCATGCAGAGCGAGGCAGATCCTGCCACAGCTCTCAGACTGACCGTGCTGCACAGAGACTTTTAGTGTGAAAATATTTCAAGTTTGTTCTCAGGTCCCTCTGTGTGTCCTCCCTTGCTTGCTCTGTGCCAGTGCTTCAGGACTCATCGGGAAGTTGCACAATAGGACAAGATTCCTGAGAGTCGCTGGATTTAGACTGTTGGATGGTTCAGGCCCTGATCTGGTTTGCTATTTTGCAAGTCCTTTGAACCAAACAACATTGCTGGAAGATACAAACCCTCCATTTCAGATGTAGGTCAGACTCGAATGCACTAGGCTACTAACCCATGTGACCGAGACTAAAGGTACACTTTGAACAGCTTATTGTGCCCAGTATTTGGCCTGTGCCAGCTTTAATACTGCTCACCTAGGAACATCTGGCAAAGCTTTCTGATTTTCCATAAGTGCATGCCTTCCCGACACTAGGAATCCAGCACCATACAAGAAGTTCATGCACACCCCAGTCTCTAGCTAGACAAACCTCCTCTATTTGCTGCTCAAGCTCTGTGATATTGGGAAACAGCTGATCATGAATTCTGGGCTCTTCCACTGCTTTCTTCACATCATAACCAAACCAGACGGAATTGATGATTGTCTGTGAGAAGCAAAAAGGCTTAACGTTAGCTACTTGTCTTCAAAGAGGCCTGACCCTTGTAGCAGAGATGTCTGAATGAGTGTTCACCAGAGCACATAAAAAACATAATTTCTGGTTCCTAGTGCTTTCAGCAGTCCCTCTCTTGGCTAAGCAAAACACAGGTACATTGCAGAAAGTCAGCTTGTACATGCTCAGGAGGATTCCCACACAGAGAGACCATGACTTACTAAAATTAACACAGTAAAAGGATCAGATCCTGAAGCTACTGTATTTGGGTTTATGCTGCTGTGATTAAGCTAGTGCTAGTCAGACACAGCAGTCACCTGAGCAAACTTACAGCTACAGCTTCCTTCTACTGTGCAACCAGTTTCCTTAAACCTGGCTCATCTCTATGTACTTAAATTGCAGGTTGGAGCCACTGGCGAGTGAAAATAGCCTCAGGATCAAGGGCTTAGAAAGCTGTTTGTAGCGGTTTTTTACAGAGACTTCTCCTCTACCACAGCCAGAAAGCAAAATCCAGCCTGGTGCTCTGAACAGCTGTGTGTGCTGGCACAGAAGACAGCTTTCTCCTGCAATCACTTTTGGTCTAGCTGGGCCTTTGAGTGGCTGCCACAGCAGCTCAAAGAGCCTGCCTGTCAGATGGCCTGAGTTCTTATTTAGCTTCTCTGTGTGACTTTCATCCAAAGTTTAGGATGTTGCATGAGGATGCCTCTAAACTAAAGAGACTAGTTCATGGAGATCCAGAGAACAGAAGTCAAAGCTAAAGTGAAGTCACAAATCCTCTGCAAGTGGTAAGATCAAATTGCCAAAGGAAAAGACCTGGAGTCTCTCAAGGAAGTAATTTATGAGACCCTTTGTGGCTCTAGCAGGCATTGCCGTTGGAGGTCTGGCCCTCAGAAGGCAAGGCAGCAACTGCCCGTTCAGGCCTCTGGCCCACAGCAGGGACCCACAGCCATGGTCACCTCACAGGTGGAGACTTGAGCCCCTTACGCCAAACATTGCCTCTGCCCCACCTTTTGCCTCAGCCTTGTCCCCCGTTTGCCCGTATCATCACATACCAGTGCTGTTGCTGTGGTTATTTTTGTTCCTCCAGAAGCACCAACCACCATCTTGACCTTTTTCGTTTTATCCACCAAGATGGAGGGGCACATAGAGGACATCGGCTGTTTACCTGTTGGGGACACAGGTGCAACAGAGGCTCAGTTTCCACCTGCAGCTTAGAAACTGCCAGCTCCTGCACCATGTCTAAACCCAGACCCCCAGTATCCACCTTCCTGACTCAGCTCACAAGTCTTGTTCAGCCCCTGGGGATCCCACTATCCCCTGTACCCATCTCTTTCTTGTTCCTGCAATGCAAAGCTTAACCCTGGTCTTTCACGCAGAGGCTGAAGGTGCCTTCCTCCATAGTCCTGTCCCAGATGGGGCTGTCTGTGATGCAGCTGCCTCCAGTACACTGGGGGACTTCCCTTCCTGCCCTTTCTCTTCCCTGTCCCTCTCCAAAGCACGGGGTACAGGAGGGTTGCAGAATCCCAGCCTGATTTAGCAGCAATGAGCTGGATCTGCAGGAAGCAGTGGTGGACCAGGCAGGGTGCTTGGATTAGGTACAGGAACTGGATCTATCCAAAGCTGTCCTACAGCTCCCAAGGCAGCACAGGGATAAAGCTGGACAAGTGCCATCTAACACTGCAGTCAGCTCCTGCTGCTGCCTCCCTCTTAAATCAGTTCAAAGAAATCTTTTGCAACCCCAAGTCATTTCATTTGACATATACTGAGCTCCCTGGGAAAGGATTTCTGGTTGTTGAAAGGAGGCATGCACAGAGTTTTTCTTCAGATAGTCTCTCCTCCTTTAGGACCAGGGGTGGCTGGTTGTGTGTTTTTGACAGGGATGCCAGGTGACTCACTTTCATCCCTGTCCTCTGCCGACAGCCCCAGACCTGTGCCTGATCACAGACATGCTGCAGCGTACCTTACAGACAGCACAGCGTTAGCATGCAAAATACAGCCAAAAGACTGAGCCAGAAAGGTAGTTTACAGCTACCTGGTGCTATGAAATTTGCTGGAGAAGGAGGGATCCCAAATCCATTGATTATGTAAGGTGAGCTGAAGTCATCCATCTCGTCATTAAATATGATTCCACTCACGCTGGATCGTACATCAGAGCCAAAGCTAGACAAAACAAGTTGGCGCAGACATGTCAAAACCAGAGCAAATCCAGGAAGAGCTTCAGGTGAATTACTGCAATGTGAAACCTGGGATTTGATTGGAGTAAGTCTCCACTCCCTCCTGTTGTAAAGGACATTCTGTCACGCCTTAGGGGAAGGAAGCAGTTTATACCATGAGTACACAGCTACAGAAAGAGGAAAGGCAGCCCAGAGGCCTGCTGTATAGCTCCTCTGCAAGGACCCCAAGGTGAAAAACAGCACGGCAGCTAAATACAACTCATTTCCCTCCCAACTGGACAGTACTGCACTCCATTCAGAGGCAGCATAGCTCAAAGGCTGGCACATTTGGGAACGACTGGGGTTTTGCCGAGATGTGTCAAGCTGGAGACATTTTCTATGGACAAAAAGAACCTTCACCCCCCAGCTTCAGGCCGTAAGTGCAGTACACAGCTCTTCCTGACAGCACTCAAAGCCAAACACTGCACTTCCAGGCCAGCTGTATTAGCTCAAATTCCTTCCAGATGCCTGGGAAATCAGAGGCAGCAGCGATACCACTGCTTATGAGAAGACCCAGACGCAGTGAATATTTTCTTGGTGGGTGAACCCAGCGTGGGAGAGGACACATCTTGTCCTCTGACCCAACCACACAGGCCTCAGTGTTAAGAACTGACCTGCAAGCTCAGCAGGAGAAGTGCACATCAGCAGTGCTACCCATCACTACCCCGCTAGAGAGATGACAATTCAGTGATGTTTCATACCAACCACAGAACGACCACTAGGAAGATGGCAAAGGCCTACATGAAGTAATGTCTGAGCTCATACTATTGGTTGATGGTGCTGGTGGCGGACACAGCACTGCCATCATCAGCCACAACGGAGAGGTGGGATGTACCGGCATTATCTCCACTGTAATATACTGGCTCATAGTAGTCAACTGGATGGGAGGTGTTGTCTGTGATTTTCCTCCGGAGACTATCCGCAAAGAACTCGGACGTCATGTTTCTGATTGCCTGTCAGAGAAATCCAATGCAGTTACTCAGCAGATTAAGTTTAAGAGACATGTAGTTATGATGCTGATATCCAATACTTCAGACCGCAGAAGAGTGGCAAATCCCAGCAGCGAGACTATAGTTTTGCAACAGGGGCTTTCCTCCTCCTTGAAAGATGGACATTGTACCAAAGGACATTCTAAGCAGTCACAGAAGCAGCTGTTACAATGCACCCCTCTGTGTAGGAAGTTAATCGGCATCCATTATTGTAGATCTATGGAAAACTGTCCTCAATGCTGCTGTAAGGTGGTGTAAGGCAAGCAGTGTTACACTTGCTTCAGAGATGAGAGGAAAGGGATCAGGTTGAGAGGACTAGACCAAGGCAAGCTCTGATCATTGCTCTGTAAGTTGCAAATTTGTGTCCATCAAGCTGGGCTGGGCTCAGATCCCGCTGCTTTTGCAGTTACAGAAGTGAACGCACAAAGCGTGACGTTGGGAAAAGCAGGGCTCCTGCCTCACCCCTTCCCATCTGTTGGTCCATTTACTATAGGCAGGACTGTGGTTAGGGAGCCACAAGGATGCTGGGAATGTCACCTATTGAATAAGGCTTCAAACACTACGAAAACAAGGAGGGTTAGCCCTAAATATACTCAAACACTCCAGGTGAAATGAGGATTTTGCTTTTCCTTACAGCAGGAAGGTTTCCTCCGTTTGTATCCCTCACAGCTCAGCCATGAGTCACATAGGACTTCACAGACTGATTCACAGATATTTCAGTGCCTGTCAATAGCAGGTGGCACAGAGCATCCCTGACAAAGTTTAGTAACCCAAAAACTTTAAGCCATGTTCCAGTCAACCTTGGTGTTGCAGAAAAAAAAGCCTTTTGCCAGGTACCTCAGTAATGTTGACAAATTTTGGATCTCCCAGTAAAGTCCTCTTGGCGTAGGCAAAGCGAAAAGCCTCCACAATGCGGTGGTAAGTCAGACCTTTCTCCTCCATGGTTTTGATGCTGTCAGCAGAGAAATTATATCCTGGCAACAGAAGACAAACGATTGTGAACACAAAGGAAAATACACAGTCAATGGACTGCTAATAAACCTGTGTCAAATAGTATAATCTGGAAGCCCTGTCTCTACAGAGATGCAGTCACTGGACTGTCCTAATCTCTGCATGGACAGCACAGGAGATCTGGTAGTTTTGAGCATTGTGGGAGTCACCAGCAGGATTTGTACTTGCAGAGATGTTTTCCAAAGAATCCTCAAGTACAAGTTAGTTTCCACACATGCAGGTACCAGGGAAGTGCCCCAACAGGAACATATTTTTCCTCTTGCACCTGTATTCCAAATAGGAAGGTGACATCCCTGAGTTTACACAGCAGAAAAGGAATGTTCCTGCCTCTCTGATCCCTCCTGGGGTCTCAGACTTCTCACCTGCTGAAGGGTTATCAAGGGAGGCCCAGCTCCCAAAACAAACGAGATGTTGTCTTTGGAGCTCTCCCAGCTCCTGCTGCCTGTGAGGCACTGCTCAGTGTCACCCTCACCTTTCAGTATGTTGAAAATGAGGGCTAGCACTGGGCCACTTAGGGGGGCACTAGGCGTGTAGAGGGTATACTCCCCAAGTGTGATCTGTATGGGGTCTTCAATCACTGTTGCATTGTAGTCCTGCAGATCATCCAATGTGACAATGCCCCCTGGAAAAAGAGAAGGAAATTATAGATGTGGGTTTATGTGATCTCTGGCGGGAATAGGAGGTAATACTCCATCAACATGCATCACAGCAAGGACAGGAGGAAACAGAGAAATCCAAAAAGTTGCAAGGTAAAGAGAGCAAAGATGGGTGCACAGGAGAGGAATTTATTCCTTGGTAGATCCAGCTGAGGCTCAGATAGCCTCAGCTTGAAGTTGGGCTGATTTACAGCAGCCAAAAATCTGGTGGTTTATTGTGTGTGGTTTTTTGTTGTTGTCGGGGTTTTGGGTTTTTGGGTTTTTTTTGTTTTGGTTTTTTTTTTTTTACAAAGGACACCAGCAACGTCAGGTAACAAAACGTCCTTAAGAGTCCTGTTTACAGGAACAGGATGCAGCTTTTGGGTGCAGATGCTTTGTGCTACCCCACAAGCAGAATAATTTGTATGTTCCGTTGCCTTTCTTACCAGAAGGGGGAAGACTGTAATTAACTGCCACAAATAAAGCCAGTAAATGACCTAGTCATAGAAGATTGACTGAAGCTAGCCAATGCCAGCTAGTAAAGATAGGTTACTACCACCATCTAGTGGCATCGAGAGATTAAACAAGCTCAGATTTTGCAGGACCATGTATGTAATGTTTTAGGTAGAAACTTGTTGGATTCAGGCTCTGTGAACAGCATGTATCTACTAAGCTATATCCAGAAACGCATAGACTTGCTAGACTATATGGTACAGAAATGCACAGTATATACTATGCTGAGTTTCAAATGCATCCATTAAAGTGCTAATGGCTTCTCTTGGGTGTCCTGTTGCCACAGATCTCAGAGGCAACATTTCAGGCAGCAGGCTTGAGCCGCTTCCAAGGCTTCTGCAGATCACTGGCTCCTCCCTGGATGCTGAGCTGCAGCAGTCAGGTCACTCATGCTGTTTTGGACAGATGTCCAATTTCTCACCTACGCTCCGGATGTCATCGATGATCTGTTTTGCCAGGCTTCCTGTGTAAAAGGCATCTGCTCCTTCACTGGCTATAGTCTCGTATGTGTTGGCTAGTTTAGGCATCTTGATGATATCGCCCTCATGCAGAATTTTCCCTCCTCTGCAGAACACTTCGCTAACAGAGAAAGGAGACTGAGATCAGATCTGAGAGACAAGTTCAAAAACTACACGTACCTGTACCAGCTGACACAGTATTTGAGTGTTCATGCTAGAGGCTTGGAGAGAAGAGAAACTGCCTGAGCCATGCCCCAGGGGTCCCAATACCTTGTGCTGGGGCATAAAAGTGAACAGTGGTTTCTGACATGGGATTCCACATTGCTCAGAATCTGCTCAGTGAAGCCTGCAGGAGGGAGTGTCAATCGTTTTCACCAAGGTAGGCCACCCCCCCACCTGCCCAAGGGGCCAACAACTGCCTCAAGATGCCCAGGAGGGGCCACAGTCCTTGAACTCAAGCAGTTCAGTTCAGAGCACAGACTATGAAGCTATGAGGCTCAAAGCTTCAAGTCAGTCCAGGAGAATGCGTTTCGATCCCTGTTTGTCAGAGCACTTTGAGGTAGACAGTTTCCTCTCTAGCTCCCTCATCATGGATCATGAATGTGCTACTGTGGACCTGTCAGATAGAAGTACAGGAGAGAGGCCCAGACTGTACATCCCGATTGGATTGGAAACCAATTTGCAGCTGACAGAGATTTTAAGGAAAAGAAATGATTAAGCATGATCTCCAGTAGGGCTGGACGTAGACACCAAGGGTTTGACTGTAAGAGGAAGTGGTGGAGCATTTAAAACCCTTCATGTTCACAGTCATTGCCAGAAGTGGATGGTCAGAGGTATTGCTCAAGGAACGCTGACTGCAGAGTAAGAGATGACCCAAATTCCCACTGCCTGACAGGAGATGAGATGTTCAAGGAGACTCTGCAATTGCCCCAAATGCAGATAAGAATAACTTAGTGCACTTACAGCATGAGGAAAAGCTAGGGGTTCAGAAAATACATTGCCACCTGACAGATTTATCCCAGCATATACTCTAATTCCACCTTTGCTCAAACAAATGGACTTTAAGAGCAGAATTAATCTCCCTGTAAAGGTCAGGACATTCCTAAAACTGGCCACATGATTTAGCACCTTCAGGTAGCCAGAATAACATCAGCAGGTAAAATGAGTACAGTCACTGGAGGGGAGGCACACTCCTCACAGACACTACATTACACAAACACAGAGACTTTTCAGCTAGGATGCAGTTACCCCAAATTTCTCTGCACAGAACAGCAACTGCTCTACCTACCACAGTGAAGGATTGCTTTCAATTGACTGCTCTCTGGATTTGATGGCTGCTGCAAGGCCTTTCCCAATAGGGAATCCTTCTCTTGCCAACTTGATGCTGGGCAGAAACAGGTCTTTCCATGCCAGTTTGCCATGACGTTTGTGAGCCAGTTCATACCCACGAATTTCTCCTGGAACAGCAATGGACAGTCCTCCTGGAGCAGATAAGGAATGTATTAGTCTTCCAAAGCAAGAAAAGAAAGGATTAACGGAGTAGGAGGTAGAGCAGGCTTCTCTGTCAGCCCTGGTTTTAGGCAGGGATTATGTACACTATGATCAGCTCCTGATGCTATCTGATGTATACGATGCTAACAGAATTACTCTGTCTGACATTTATGCCTACATATTCTGGACTGTTGAAACACCTCAATCCTCTTGCTAGTAACTCAAGTTTTTGGGTCATTTCCCCTCAGTAGGGTCTGTACCAGTGAAAAGCTGCTCAGAACACAGAAACTATCATAGCTGCCTGCAGTTTCCAGTCCTTCAGAGAAGAACACCCTACAGTAAGAGGACACAGACCACGTACATACTTAAGCCAAAAACTTTGTTGCAGCATTGTACCTACAATTGCAATAGATTGATTACTACATTGCACGGTGATACAGCAGTTTGCTTCAATCCTGTTTTTATTGGCGTCTCCCAGAAGTTCAACACACTTCTCAAACCCCCTCCAAAGTGCTGCTCCCCCTCGGTTACAGGAGTGACCATGAAGAGAACTAGTTAGTATTTCCTTCTATTTTTGATTAGAAAATACTTCCCTGAAGGAAAATTACTTCTTCTCTGAAGCCTCTGAACCATTAGTTAAAGCCCACCACAAAAGATATTTAGGGAGGATGCTTGAACTGACAAGAACTAAGTTGATCCACAAAGATTTATTCAAAGAGGTGGAAAGGAAAGATAGCAGGTATGGAAGAAGTCATACTCGGTGCTTTGGATTCACTTCCATTTTTATGAAGTGAAAAGCAGAAAGTGCTGAGGTGACCAACTAAAGGACATTATTTTTAGCGTCCATGTCAAGACAGAGTTTGCAGATTGTGTAGAGAACATTTCTAAGTGAGAAATCCTGTAGATATGCCAGAACCTAACTATAAGAAATGTTTTTAATTTAGATGTGTCAGTAGCAGCTAACGTTGGAGCTATGTGGTCCCCCCAAAGCAGTGAAACAGCCTTTGCCATACCTTTCAGAGAGAGCTGTGTGTTGCTCCCAAACATGTCCTCTGATGCTCTTTTTGGAGCCACCTCTCTTGCATTAATGATTTCCACTTTTCCTTTAATGACAGAGCAAGGAAGATGATGTTTAACTCTGGACTCAACACACAGGCGTGGTCTCTGCTGAAGAAGTCTGATCAATGTGAGCCAGTTTCTTGACAATTACTTTGAGGACAGTGTGTTCCCCCAGAAGCTGTGAGAGTCAGTCTTTTACCTTCACTCAGGTAGGATAAATCACCTGCTTTAGATAAACAGTTCTCAAACTCTTCCAGATGTGTACAACCCTGTTCCTTACCTGTGCTGCTGTAGATGGTAAAGAAGAGGCCCCCTCCAATGCCCATGCTGTGAGCATTCATGAGTCCTACACAAAGCAGAGCTGAAATTGCAGCATCCACTGCTGATCCACCTTGCTGGAGGATGTCCCTGTGCAGCAGAAGAGAATGCATCACATGGTGACGTGTTAGTGTCTCAGCTATCTGTGAGCAGTAGAGTCATCTCAGCAGAGCAGCTATGACAGATTCTCTAATGGATGTTTGTCCACACCCAGTCATAGGTTCCCAAGGAATAGGAAGTTTGGAGCTTCTGCCACCTTAGAGAACAGATCCTAGTGGTATAGGTGCAGAACAGATCAGCCCTCATTAGAGACACATCCAAACCAGCTTGAAAACAGAGATGCGTCAAAGTACGTGTGGGGACAGGCATTCCAGGCATATTCATTACACATGAGAAACAACAACTCTCTGAGGAGCCTGAAATCTGCAGCATTTGCATCTAGAACTGGAAGACAGCTTGATAAATGTTTTTTAAAAGGAGTTTGAAAAGCATCTCATTTCCATTGTTCATGCATCTAGGGAATCTTTGCCTGCTATGTTGTCCTTGAGCAACTGCAGTAACATTGGTCAGGCATGGTAAAAGCCCAGGTTTTATTATGGCCTCCTCTTTCTACATGGAGATTAGAGATTATCTGTGCTGGGCAACTGCCAGGCTTGCACCTGGACAGCGGGGAAACAACAGTTTCGTCTTGCACAAGAGCTGTCAGAGCTAATGAGAGTCACAGCACAATTAGTGGGTACCTTCCAATTATTGAGCACTGCCCCGCATCTGTAGCCACAGCCGCCCTCTTATAAGTGTGTGTGTCCCCTGAGTCAGGGCGCAGCCCGAAGAAGAGTCCCAGGAACAAGATGAGCCCCAGCAGGGCTGCAGTCAGGACTCCGGCCACCACATAGCGCTTCTTCATCTTCCTGTGGGAAGAGACAGGATTGTCAACCTTGCTGCTTCTGGGCACATGGGAACTAGGGAGCAGATGATCAGGCACAGAGCAGTCTTTTCATCTACCTTGTTTCACATCCACTGTTTCCCCCTCTACACTCCTGCAGGTGACTGCTCTGTGCATGGAAGGGCAGTTTGGGAAGGAGTGAGCCCAGTTCTGGCCTTGACAGTTACATCAGGGAGATGTCCTGTTTGAAGTGAAGTAGAATATCAAGAGAGGAGAGGATGCTCAAAATTTCCTGCTACTCTTACCTTTCAGTGGCGATAGGCCAACCAACTGCTCTTTGTGACTTTACACTCTGAGGATTTTAGATGCTCATCAAGCATTTAAGTTACTGCTCTGCTTGGGAGGACAGAGGCCCAGTGTCAGATGGGATTTGATCTAGTTCCCAAATCAAGTCAGCAATACCAGAGACTTTTTACCAGATTCCCCTGTCCAACACACGCTGGCAGGCCCTTTGCCTCCTTTGTAATGTGATGGAGTCAAGGACTGCATTCTGCCCACATCCTGGAGGCAGGCTGACATTGCCAGGCGAGCAGCCATCCGTGTTGACCTCTTCCTCCCTACTTCATAGCCACACAATGAGGCTGTATATATGATGTCTTCCCATCTTTCCAACCTTTGCTTTTCAGCAGGTTTCCATGAGTTCCAAGATGTGGGCAGTGAATAGCTTCCTCCTCTCCTGAATCTCTCACATACAGGGTCTCTCAAATATTTCCTCACTCAGATTCACATCAAGACTTTTTCTATGGGCACTGCTGGTACCATTTCTCTATGCCCCTGCCATCTCTGTGCAGAACAACCATTCTAACAATTCCAAAGCTTTTACCAGCTTCCTCTTTACCCATTACTGCCATCCTATTTACAGAGTGATCTACTAAAGTGAGCACCCCGGGGACTCCTGGAAGCCCTGGTAACAGCTCTGAAGTGTTACAGTACCAGAAATGAAAACGTCTCAAACCAGCAACTATCACTTGGGTAAGAACCTGTCTTATAGCAGGTAGGTAGCCTCATACACCAAAAAAGCAGCAGCTTCGTAGGTGAGAAGGGAAATCCAAGGGGCAGAACATAATTGGAGTTAGTCATGACTCACATCATCTTCAGAGGAAAAATTCAGAGTGTTAAATACCATGTCTGTGAAGGACTTCATCCAGAAGGTTGTCAATGACCAGTGCAAAACACATCTTAGTCATTAGCAAGTGACCTTGGCCAAAGCTATTTGGCACACCATCCCCTCCTTGTTCAAGGTTCTTGGTCAGACCACCTTTCCAATGAGCCTGCCACTTCTAGGGGGTCAATGGCCAGCGCTCATGTCTCCATGTTTCCCAGTCCTGCATACAGCTGCTGTTGGGGTGCACAGGATACTGTCCATCTGTGAGCAAGCACAAGAACACCAAGGAGCTCTCTGGCAAGCATATTCCAGATACCCACCAGGATGAGTCAAGAGTTATTGAGGGGATGGAGAGTCACTGCCACCTTGTTAGGACTGACAGTTCACGAAATACAGCTTGAGCAGGTAGTCTTTGACCCATTTCCTTTCCCATTACAGGCTTGTTCCAGCAAAAAAGACCTGAATCCATCCTATTGCCTTCAGGGACTAACTTCCCCCTGTGTAGTGTAGCTTTGGGTTTTCCCCATGACTGCTGTACTTGCACAACAGCCAAGATACCCTTTACCTTACCAAAGCCTCTGCCATCCTCAGAGACAAGCCAATCCATGGCATTGTGGGTGAAGAGTGGATCCACCAACCACACCCTCTGTCTGTGGATGTTCCACAGCCCAAAGTAGAGCAAACTCCAGCAGTCAGAGCAGCACTTGATGCCTTGCAGCAGCAGCACACGCGGATTAGGGAGCAATGAGTGTGCCAGCACTGAGCTAACTAGAGGAAACTGGCCAGGCCAGCCAAACCAAAACTTTTCTCAGAAGGAGGAGATTAGCAAGCACTACCCTCTCAACCTCACCCCCACTCCTGTCATTTAAATTAGAAGATATACATTTGCTATCCAAGCCCTGTATCTGTGAGTCTCAGTCTGAGCGCTAATGATGTCCATCTCCAAGTAAAGCAGCTCAAACCATGGTGTAAATCTACTGTATGTGCTGTTCTGTAAACAAATGTCAACCGAGGGCAGCAAAAGGTAAATGGATGAAACCTCTTTCCAGGTTCTAGAACTTGATTTACACTCAACTACTTTTAAAAGAGACCAGTGGCGTGTTTGCAGAGCAATGACTGTGCAGGGAAACAGAGAAGCCATTATGTCCCCAACAATAGCTCACACACAGCCTCAGAGTTTAAAGACAGTTTTGTTTGTTGGCAGAGAGAGTTCAGCTTCAGCACTGGCAGTCTCCTCCAGGCTTCACAAGAAATGCCATGGGATCTTTTATCTGTGCCCCAGCTAGGCAGAAGGTACTTTGTTTCATCTGAAGGCTGCTCTATGTCGGGCTGTCCTGCAAGCCTGGGGTGACTCAAGCCCCATAGCTGGTGTGTTAACCCATAGGCTTCTGGCTGGGGCTGTGCAGTTCTCCACAACCGCTGGCCTCGCTGCCAGGCTCCTGTAAAGATTTACTGCTTTGTCAGGCAAGTTATTTTGAGAGCAGGAGAGAGGGGAAACCTCAGATAGTGCCTCTGCTCTCATCTTTCACCTCCCCTCTGAATTTGGATGACACTTGTGAGCATCTTCTAGACTCATAAGAACTCCACACTGACTGCCCAGCTGCCTGGTGAGGGCACAGACCTTGAAAAGGGCCCTCCAGCCCAGTTTATACGGTCAGGTGCAACTCCTGGCCAGCCCCCAGGGCAAGGATAAGACATGTACCACTGGGGGCAGGAACAAACACACAGACTGCTGTGAAGAAGAGATACAGATCGCTGGGCACTGCTTTTGCACTGCACTGTGGTACCATGTTGCACTCTGGGCTAGGCCTCTGGGACCCAAGTGGGGCCAGAAAAAGTGAATGTTCTTCCTAAAAGTGCATCTGTGCAATCTGTCAGATTGATTCTGCTAAGGAAGAAGCAGACGTACAAGCTAAAGATCTTTCTCTTCTTCAACAGTACAGACAGCAAACTCATCTGAGGATAATCCTCTCCACCTTAACTGCCAGCTCAACTCCCATAAGCTCCTTAACCTATTTCAGGCCTGACCCTAGAGGGAAGCATCCCTTGCGCAGTCCTTACTGCCTTCCTAAGTGTGGCACAGCACAAAGCCGAACAGGCATTTTGTTTGCTGTACAGCAATCAGGAGATGGATCAGGAGCCTGCAGATATCCATTCTCTAACCCACCTCTCCATACATGCCCCGTGCCCTGGGTAGGTGCATTGCAGGAACAGCTGAGTTTTGGCACCAACGGTCTTTTTGAGCCTCAGCTCTGAAGCCAAGTCCCCACTATGATTTATTGTTGGAAGTGGAACAGCAGCTGTGGATCACCACCTGAGCTGGCTCCCCAACTATTGTCTGCTAAGACTGGCTTTAACCTCCAGATCTCTGCCAAATCCAGCTGTTTGGAAGCTGGGCTAGCACTTTGGTCACACAGCGCTACTCAGCAGCAGCAACAGGTCTCCAGGAAAGAGGGACTATAAAACCATTATAAAAGCAACATGATTATTTCTCACTGTTATAAAGGTCCAACAGCCAATCCTAGCCATGGAGTTTAAAACGTGGCCTGATAGTCTGTCTTAATTCATATTAGGAGAGGGGAAGGACCAGTAAGTAGGAGAGTTATGCCTGTATGAGCAACCTCACTGAGCTGTATTCAGATGTTTCACAACATTCACAACCTTACTTAAACATGACACTGTTTTTGCATTAAAAGAACCCCAGCGCAACAGGCTAGCTAGTGTCAGGCAGGGCATACAGGATCTGACATCTCCGTCAAGAGGGCTGGGGCAGAGCCTCTCTGGGAGAGAGAACAGTAGGATTCCAGAGGATGACAAAGGAGTCCCAGGTACGGTCAGGCACTGCCTTGTTCTTGAATGAAGTAGTGAAGGAATCATCCACTGACAATGCCTAATACTTTAACCCAACAGGCTTCTGCTTTAAACCCATCTTGCAACAGCTGCATACCTCAGCACCCACTCCTAAGAGTTCCTTGTACTCCCACCCCCAGCCCAGTAGCTAATACTTGGCTGTTAGCTTTGAGACATTCGTCCTTACTTTCCCCAGGCAGCACACATTATGCAAAGATGGACTGGACATCTTGAATCTTGTCACAGGACATAGGCTATGTTCTTCCTATAAAACTCAAAGTCTAATCCATATCAATAACTGCCATATTTAAATAATTAACAACCAATAGTTGAAAGAATGTTTTCACACTCTACTGTTGTGTAGTGTGAACCATCAGAGACTTTTGAGTGAGAACGTATGTAAAGCAAACAGCTGCAAGATTGTCACAGGGCCCCCAGGAGTATAAGCCAACAGGGGCCTCACAAGAGCAGAACCAGGTTGCTAGCAGAGGCCCAAGGGCTGTTCACACAAATGTTCCATTACTGATCCAGCATTATGTGACAACCAAATGAAGGTGCCTGCACTGAATCACATGGATCAAACTGGGAAACTCAATCTCAAAAATGCAAATTATTAAAATAAAGTTTTATAAACTCATTCAGAACATCACTGTTACATTCACTCCCAATTTAAAATCAAAATGTTTCACTAAATAGTTCTGTTCTCTCCCAACTGTTGCAAAAGATGTTTTCAGATGCTCTTCTGCCATTAAACTAGAAGTTGTTTATTAGACCTGAGCTTATTCAGACTGGTTAGTCAGGTCCCATCATTCTCTTTTGGCAAGCTTTCATCTGATATATTAAAAAAAAAAACCAAAACAAAAACTCACATTATCCCATAGTCTCTTAAATCAGAAATCACAAACAGCACTTCCCAGGCCGAGGGGAATGGCTTAATGAAGGTAATTTCTAATTTTCTCTTACCTCTTGAGAATATTTGCAAGTCCGTCCTGTTCTTTTGCAAAGA